GGGGGGGAAGAGGTTGAGTTAGATGCTGCTCAGTGTGTACCTTATTGCGTGCATTTTATAAAATCATCCTCTATTCTACAAGCTGTCAATGTCTTTTTTCTTTTTTTTTGGTCAATTCTGGCAATAGGAAGAAGGATGCATTTCCCAGAAGCCCAAAAGTATAAACCAGATAAAGTCTAAGAATTACTAAGACTGCAATTTCATGACTCTCTTTCTCTTGTGTTCTTTCCTATTACCTCCCTACTACTGCCACTTGCGGCTTTTAACTTCCATCTCTCCTTTGGCTATGCTACACCCCTTCCTCCCCAAAGCAAGCGGCCTCCACCCCAAGGCACTCTGCTTCTTCTCACCTACATTAGACAGAAGGAAAGTAACTCATTGCTCCTAGCTTTGATTTTGAGATCTCTGTACACGTGTTCAGCTAGAATTGCTGGCTCTTTTGGTAGGGGGGGGGGGTTAGTAGGGTGCATGTGAATGGGTGAGAGGGAACCCAACAGCCCCACGCAGGAGAAAATAAGGGGGGAGGAGAGCAAAGATGGATGAGGATTCTTTCTGTTGGATATATACAGGGAGTTCTCGACTTACAACCATCCGTCCAGTGACTGTTCTAAGTTACAACGCCACTGAAAAAAAGGGACTTATGACCGCTTATCACTTGCGCCCTTTGCAGCGTCCCCGTGGTCACGTGGTCAAAATTCAGAGGTTTGGCAACTGTATTTATGAGAGTTGCAGTGCCCCGGGGGTGTGTTGTGTTTGTGTGTGTCATATGATCCCCTTTTGCGACCTTCTGACAAGCAAAGTCAATGGGGGAAGCCCGATTCACTTAGAAACCGTGTTACTAATTTAGGGATCCTCTTAACAAACGCGGCAAGAAAAGTTGTAAAATGGGGGCAAAACTCACAGAACCGCCATGTCGCTTAGCAACGGAAGGTTTGGGCTTACAGTTGCGGTTGTAAGTTGAAGATTACCTGTAAACACCCACCCCCCCACACCCCTCTCTCTCTACTCAAGAGGGCTTTAATCTCTCCTGGAGATTTTGGGGGTTATATTCTTAGGCAGAATGCTGGTTTCTTGAGACTAGGACCAGCACTTGGAATTAGAAGCAAGCATTTAAAGCAGGGGTGTCAAACTCAATTTCATTGAGGGCCGCATCAGCATTGCGGCTGCCCTTGGGGGGCCAGGTGGGTGTGGCCTACTGGGTGGGCGTGGATGGAGTGGGTGTGGCCTACTGGGTGGGTGTGGTCAGCTCTACATCGTTCGTGTCAAGGGTGCCTGTGGGGGCCTGGGCAGGAGTGGGACAGATCTGAGGGTCTCTGGCAGAAGGGGGTGGGACCGGGGCAAGTGCCAAGGCATGGTCCATTTCTTCATTCCTCACAAAGGGTGACATCTCCCCAGCATGCACCCAGGGGGCAGAGCCGACACGGCAGGGGCTGGTTCCTTGCTGTTTCTAGATGGCCTTGTGGAGCTAAGACTGATTGCATTTCAGCATAGATGGCTACCACAAAATTGTACATTGGCTCCCGGACGGCCTGGGCCAGGGCCAAGGCAGCGGGGGCCGTTCCCTCACTGTTTCCAGGATGTCTGATTTAAAGTCTCATTCAGAAGAGGCAAATTGTGGCCCTTTTGCAACGTCTGGTTAGGGCAGATCGGTGTGCTGGCTTTGAAGACTCTAGGTCTGGTTTCAACTGTTTCAGCCTGGTGGCCCTGAGAATTTCTTAGAAGATGAAATAGCAAGACATCTTCTTAAGAGAAAAAGTAGGACAATATCTTAGCAGGTTACAACACCTTGCGGGAGATGTGGAGGGAGAAACGATGTCTGGGGATGGAAAGGAAAAGTTTCCAAAAAGGAAGGGTGGAAGATTAGCACCCCGTGGACAACAAAGACATATAGCTGAACCAATACGTACAGCCAGGAAGCGAGGATCTACCGCATACTCAGGGTGGGCCTGCAGCCACACCTCCAGATCAGCCCGGCGGGGAGCTGCGTCGCCCACCAGCAGCGTCCCATCAGTCTTGTTCACCACTGGGATATGAGCCTCCAGGTCAATATCTGGGCCCCTCAGTGCTTCCAGACACTGCAGTTCCAGCTGGGAAAGAAAGAAAGAAAGAAAGAAAGAAAGAAAGAAAGAAAGAAAGAAAGAAAGAAAGAAAGAAAGAAAGAAAGAAAGAAGAGAGAGATAGAGAAAATGGAGGGAGGAAGGAAGAAAGGAAGGAAGAAAGAAAAGAGTGAGAGAGAGAAAATGGAGGGAGGAAGGAGAGGGGAGGGAGGGAGGGAGGGAGGGAGGAAGAAAGAAAGAAAGAAAGAAAGAAAGAAAGAAAGAAAGAAAGAAAGAAAGAAAGAAAGAAAGGAGAGAGAAAATGGAGGGAGGAAGGAAGAAAGAAAAGAGGGAGAGGGAGAGAGAAAATGGAGGGAGGGAGGAAGGAAGAAAAAAATGAGAGAGAAAATGGAGGGAGGGAGGAAGAAAGAAAAAAAAGAGAGAGAAAATGGAGGGAGGGAGGAGAGGAAGGAAGGAAGAAAGAAAGAGAAAGAAAGAAAGGAGAGAGAAAATGGAGGGAGGGAGGAAGAAAGGAAGGAAGAAAGAAAACAGAGAGAGAGAGAGAGAAAATGGAGAGAGGAAGGAAGGAGAGGGGAGGAAGGAAGGAAGGAAGAAACGAGAGAGAGAGAAAATAGAGGGAGGGAGGAAGGAAGGAAGGAAGGAAGGAAGAAAGGAGAGAGAGAAAATGGAGGGAGGGAGGAAGGAGAGGGGAGGAAGGAACAAACAAACAAACAAAAGGAAGGAAGAGGAAGAGGAAGAGGAAGGGGAGAAAGGAAAGAAGGAAAGAAAAAAGAAAAAAGAGAAGAAGAAAAAAGAAAGAAAGAAAAGCTGAAAAGTCAGGGCCTCTAAACACAGCTCTTCCACCTCCCTTTCCATCGCAGTGGCACCAACATGCTCCCTTCCACTGACGGGATGGATCGGATGCCTGTGGCCGCCCATCCCAACTACTGACTCTCCGTGCAGCTAGCAATTGCTTACCTCCACCATTTTTTTGCTACTTTTTTTCTGGGTGAGAGCAGGCCGATCCCGAACGGTGCCATTTGGGACCAGCTTGTGCTTTTGGAAAGTCAGTTTGATTCCTTCTTCCTGGAAAAATGCAGAGAGAGTTAGGGCATGGGTGGAGAATTCAGGACCCCCCTCCCACCACGCACCCTCCCAATTAAGCCTTAAGAGTTCCCACGGATGGGGTGGTTGGAATTCGGGAAAAACAAACAAATAGTGTAAATCAGTGGAACAAAAATATGTTGATTATCCACAGGATAATCTAAGCTTCTAGACAGGCTTGGAGGGAGTGTGGAGCGGCGGTGGGGAGGGAAGAAGTAGGGGCCTTAGCAGATTCTACCGCTATCTTTAGCAATGGGTGGAGAGAAGCAACCTAGAACTAAGGAGAAACTTCCCGACAGTTAGAACAATTAGCCAGCAGAACAACCTGCCTCCAGAAGCTGTGAATGCTCCAACACGGGAAGTTTTTAAGAAGAGACTGGACAACCACTGGTCTGAAATGGTATAGGTTGGACTAGAAGACCTCCAAGGTCCCTTCCAACTCTTGTTATTCTCACCAAATGACCTGAAACTGGCCTACAAAAGGGTGGGTCCCATAGGTCTTGAGGTCTTGGACAAGAAGTTAAGGGTGGAATGAAAACAATTTGGCAATTTTACTGCTTTATTTAGCAGCTAAATCTCAAGTTTCGTCAATTTTCAAATTTCCTACGATACAGCCATTTGGGTTTGCACAGGGAATCGGTCCTGGCATGCGGGAGACGTGGGGGGAGGGATTGATGCTGTTCTTCCACACCTATCTTGAACTCACATCTTTGATCTGCACGGTAAACTCCTTCTCTTGGCCACCGTGTCGGAGGCGGGTGAAGGAAGCTGTGCCTTCCTCTTGTGATGCCAGAGGGCAGATGTGAGGGATGGGGGAGGTGGTGTACTCTCCGTGCATGTGGGGCAGGCCTTCTCCCTGGCCAATACAGGACACTACCTGGCCCTGCTGTGGGGAGGGCCACTTTCCGGACAGCACAGCCTGGCACACCAAGTCGATGCGGTTGATGAGGACACGGTCCTGCAGAAGAGTAAGAGAAAGAGATACTACTCGTCTGGGCAAAAGAGGCCAACATCTGCAAGATTCCTTCAAATCCAACCCACATTTTTCCCATTTGGGGAACTGGGTATCTCCAAGACCTCTCAACTTCTCTCCAACGCTTAATGCTTTGGCGATGCTCGCTAGTCGACCGAGCTCAGAGAGCACCAAGGACTCCACACTTAATAGCAATAGCACTAGCAACAGCCCTTAGACTTAAAGAGTATATACCACTTCATAGGGCTTGACAGCCCTCTCTGAGTGATTTACAGAGTCACCATCTTGCCCCCCAACAATCTGGGTCCTCATTTTACCAACCTCGGAAGGATGGAAGGCTGAGTTAACCTTGAGTCGGTCGGGTTCAAACTGCTGGCAGTTGGCAGAATTAGCTTGCAATACTGCATTCTAACCACTGCGCCACTACGATTCTTCATGCTTTCTCTGTCAGAAAGACTAAGTTATGTATACCAGGGCTTTTCAACCTTTTCACCCATTGTACCACTTTTAGGATATGGCAACATCCGAGTACCACCAGTCGCCCAGCAAGGTGTCAAAAACGTGATGACCCCCCCCAAAAAGAAAAAAGTGATAAAGTACAGGTAGTCCTCGACTTACAACAGTTCGCTTAGTGTTACAATGGCACTGAAGTTACAATGGCACTGAAAAAAGTGCCCCCCAAGCCACAGCCGAGCAAGACACCTGCCTGCCCGCCCGGTAGCGCTCTTCCTCCTGTCCGAGGTTTTCATTGTGAGCATTTCTGTTGAGGATTGGCAGCGGGGGTGGGGTGGAGGGGTGCTTGGTTTTTATTCCCCCCATCTGCTGGGTGGTTGCAGCAGGTATTGGTCACTTCACATGACCCTGGGACACTGTGACTGTCATAAATATGAATCAGTTGCCAAGCATCTGAATGTAAATCACAAGACCCTGGAGATGCTGCTACATTCCAGCTGATTGGCGCTTCTTCTGGGCTCAGCAGAAGCACCAGGATCAGCGCAGAGCTCCAGCTGGAGCCTGGCGCTGATCCTGGCACTTCCGCTGAGCCCTGAAGAAGCGCCGATCAGCTGGAAAGCGTCACTGATCCTGGCGCTTCCGTTGAGCCCTGACAGCCCAGCAGCTCCAGCCGTCTCTCACTCAGGCTTGTGCGGTGCTGCCACCGGTTCAGCTCATTCCCCTCCCCTGCTACCACTTTTCTAGGATGGTCGCGTACCACCTGCCAGGTGACAATGTACCACAGGTGGTACCCGTCCCACTGGTTGAAAAGCCCTGCCTTAGTGCAACATGCAACTCCGGCAGTATCCCTGCCTTCTTGGGCTCGGCCGTTACCTTTGGCCACTCGTGGGCCCTCTGGCGCTCCTGCAGCAGCAGATCCGAGGCACTAGGCTGCGGCGAGTTCCCCTCGTGGGAGGTGGGCAGAGAGAGCAGCGAGGACTCCTCCTCCTCAAAGAGCTTCCCGCCACAAGAAGCCTCTTCACCTGGTGGGAAGACAACAACGAGAAGGTAGGAAGGGATTTGGAATGGAAAGAGAAGAGAGTCTGCTTCAGATGAGGAGGAGTCAAGAATGGAACTTCGGCAGCTACCTGCCTCTTTGTTTCTTCTTGCCATTAGAGTTGGGGGGGAGGAGGTGTTGCTTTGAAAGGGTTTAGATCAGGAGTGTCAAACTCGCAACGTCACGCAACGTGTCGCAACTTTTTTTTGCCATTGCCGGCAATGGGGTGGGCGTGGTTTTGCTACGATGCATCTGGCCCGCGGGCCGGCAGTTTGACACTCCGGGTTTAGATGAAGGAACGAAACTTTGCTGATTCTGCTGAAATTACTGTGAAGAGCCTGAGTCATTTCCAAGGACACTAAAGCAGGTGTGGAAGAAAAGCAGACGGTTCCCATAACAAAGGGAAATTGTTTACAGTGACTATGGGAAAAAGGGCGGGGGCTTGGACGATGAGACTGTTGTTTAATTCTTTGATCTGTAGCTGGGAACCCCAGAGTGAATTTGGCTTCGACAAGAACTATGCCGTATATCCAATAAACAAAAAGAATTCCGGAACCGGAATGTTTCTGGTGATTTATTTGGATTTTTGAGCTGGATGTTGACAGGAGGACCTGGGTGGGCAGATTACATAACACCATCCCAATACTAAAAGTGCCCAAAGGGGATGGTGTTTTTTTTTGGTGTGTGTGTGTATGTATGTGGCTTCTAAGCAAGCTCACATACACCCTTTTGCTAAAGTCAATCCATGCTGCATTGATTCAATGCTTGGCAGGAGGGCCAGCTGAAAATCTCCAAGCGTGCTGTTTACGAGTCCCGTTACCGGAGAAATAAGGGACAGAAAAGGCTATTAATAAAGTTGAGTGGCAAAAAGTATCTAACATGGAAGGCTGTCTTTTTTAAAAGACTGCATTAGAGCGTGTCAGGTAACAACAATAAATAAAGGTTTTATAGAAGAGAATTGCAGATTGATCCAGAAATGGTAGTCACGACTAAATGAAATCACAAATGAGACAGGCTACAGATACACTCGTTCGGCCATTACTCCACTTTGATAACACACCCCGAGCAACAAAAGAAAACAATTGGGGTTTGGTTCCGTGATATGCCTCTGTCAGGATAATTTCTCCTAAGTTTAAGCTAACTTATTGGATTATTACGAATTGGGAGGAGGAGAATTCTCCTGAATTCCCTAGAAGAGGGCGCAAAATATCCTCTTTTGGATTTTTTTGAGATCCATTGCTCCTGTAAAAAGGCAAGATTAAAAAAAAAAAAAAAAAAACCGTTCCACTAACCGGAATTTCTCATTTTTAGTAGAAAGGCGGTTCTAGGGCCAATCCCGCCTTGATTTTTAAAAGCAAGGAAGGCCTGGGCCATTTTCTCCTCAGGATATGAGCGGGAAAGAAGAGACATCTTAAAAAAAAACAGCTCACCCTCACTGTCATCGGAGCAGCCCGAGGAGGACGAACACGACGATGAAGCAGAAATCTTGCTGAGGTCAAGTTCGGAGTCGGAGTCCTCGGCCGATTCAGGTTTGGGGGGCAAGGTGAGGGGCTGTTGCGGAGCAGGTGGCTCATTCAACGGTGGAGCGAGGAGCAGGGGGGACGGAGCGGCCGCCGTGCTGACCCCCGGAAGGGGTAGCCCTGTAGGCTGGGCTGGCACCGGGGGCGGAAGAGGGGGTGTCCCTGTGCCCCCTGCCCGACTGTGCAGGTGGCTGAGCCGAGCCGCCAGGAAAGAAAAGTCTGGGTCTTGCATGATGGTGGTGTCAGTCTGGCTAAGACCATGGCGGGCCACTCCCCGCAGCAGCTCTCCGTCGTGGCGCCCGCACTGCCACCACAGTGGCATTTCAGGGCCAGGGGGCTGGCACAAGGCGAGGCGCTCCTCCAAGAGGGGATGGCACAGCACTTGCTCCCGCAGACGGCGCAGGAGATCGATGCGGTATAGGGTGCGGGAGGCCCGCTCTTCCGTGATGGGTTCGATGAACAGGGTGGGGTCTGGAGACTCTGGAGAAGAAGGGAAAACCAGGTGAACGTGGAAATCTTCCCGTTTCTCGCTCTTTTCCCAAGTTGTTTCTCTTCTACTCCACCCCATCCCTCCCGGCCCACTGTCCGAAGCCCTTATAGCACTGTTTCTCAATTTTAGCAACGTTAGGACGTGTAGACTTTAATTCCAGTAAACCTCCGGAATTCTGGGAGCTAAAGTTCACCCATATTAAAGTGGCTGAGCTTGAGAAGCACTGATTTATGGCAGGGGTCCCCAACACCCAATCCATGACCCAGTGCCGGGCTGCAGCCCGTTTGGAACTGGGCCCGCGGAAGTGGTGGAGGCAAGCACACCTATGCGCACAACACTGCATTTGTGAAAGCAGCATTTGTGTGCGTGCAACCTCTGCCGGGCCAGAAAGACTGCTGCCTTATGCCTTACTTTCAGAGATTCGTTCGCATCTCCAATATGATCAGAATGATAAACCCTGATTCAGTCCCATTGACCTCCAAGGATCTTGGACAAGACTCACAAGAGTCTCAAACAATACCACTGGGCAGTTTATTGCCAATTATTATTATTTTTTAAAAAAGTGAAATGTAAAAAAATGGGAACGACTTAATTCAAGAGTAGTATATATATAGAGAGAGAGAATCTTGGAATCTGTAAGAGTGACTTCCCAGCCTCATTTAAAGTGAGTTAAACAGGGCAAAGGTCTTTTTTGCATGCTTTGAAAAACTTCTTTCAAGGAGTTTTCTCTACTTGGACTAAATTGCCCCTTTTTAGAAAAACTGTCAATCGACTTTGCTGTCTCTTGATTGTTCATGTCCGTGTTTTTCTCCATTCCTTTCCCAGTCTTCTGAAACAATTTAGAAGTACTTGGGAAGTCACAAGAGTGTACAGTCCAGTGGCTCCCAACCTTTTCTATACCCCGCACCCCTAGAACGCTTCTGATATATTCCCTCATCCCTTACAAGAGTTCAAAATAACAAAATATGCATGTACACTATAATTTTGAAACTTCTAAAGCCAAGTTTTTGCGCCTCCTGGAATAGCGTCTCGCACCCCCAGTTGGGAACCCCCGATATAGTCTATCGCTCCTGTTGATGAAAGCAATCTCTCTCTTTTTAAGCTTCAATCTGAACCTCCCCCAAAAAATTGTAACCGCTTTTAAAGTTGCATTAACTTTAATGAGTGGTTTCTAATTGTTTCTCCGGCTCATGCAGAAGCTAGAGAAAAGAGAAATATTTTAATACGTGGCAAAAAGGTGCTGAACGCACATTCATATTATCTGAACCTTTTTTTTAAAAAAAAAAGTTCTTTTCAAAATCTGCACGGCCTTAATAAAATGAATGTAAAAAGCTTTCTGCCTAATGCAAATGGCACGTTAGGGCAACCTTGGCTGACTGCAAAAACATCAGAAACGAAAACTTAATTTACCATAGAACGATATGGACAAGTCCATCAAATCAGTGGAATAATGTTCAATTCAAGGGTTGTAGGTTTTTTTTAAAAAAAAAAAAACTTGAAAAAAAAAACCCTGGTATTCCCCAACTGGTGCTGTCTGTGATGACGCAGGGGCCCGAACGGAGGCAAAGCACTTAGCTGGTCGGAATAATTGTCTTTGTAAGCACTGCCAATGTTCACCCAACAGCCCCCACATATGCTGGCACAAAACAGTCAACGGAGTTAAACAGTTCTTTAAAGTAAAACAGATAACAAAGTATGATCTTTTCCACGCCCAGCTTGCCTGTAACCTGCAAACTGCAAAACGGAGGACAGCAAGGAGAACTCAGCAGGAAACAAACTTGATCCAAAATACAAAGAGTCCAGGTACAAGAGCTCACATCACAAGAGTTCACGTTTGTTCCTGGCAAATGCCCCACCACACAGCGTCTCCTTAAATACCTACTCCCCAGGTGTGCCTTGTGGAGTGGGGCTGCGACGCTCTCCTCCCGAGCAAGTGAGCCTGCCTCCGTTGTTCCCTCCTCCTCTCTGCTCTCCTTGCTCTGGGATCTGGTGGGGAGGGGCCTTGCTCCTCGCCTGAGCTCTGCCTTCTCTGTTCCAAACTGGAAGGGCCCTGGCCTGCTTCAGCCTGCTCCTCCCCGCCGTCCTCCGAAGCCACAGACACCCCCTCCTGGGCCTCAACAGGGAACTCCATGTCGTCCTCAGAGTCAGGCTCGGCATGACACTGTCTATCTCATTCGCAATTCTTCCTAGGTCTGATCGTAGGTCTGAATTTTCAGCAATTGTACCAACAGAAGACTCGAGGAATGCAGACCTAGAGATTGCCAATCCGAACCCAGTGCTGAGGCATCCTAAAGAGGTCCTACCCATCCAGACTCCCGCTACTCACCATCGCTTGCAGCAGGAGGAAGACGGCAAACCTGTCGACACATGGCTACAAAACCGTGAAAATACTTGGCTAGGCTCTCATCGGTCTTCTTGTCCAAGCGGGCAAGGATCCGAAACCGACTCCAATGAAACCGCATCGTGTCTGGATCATACTCCACTCCAAACGTGGAAACCACGCGATAGAAATCCGACTGTTCGCGGCGTGTCCACCTTTGGATACAAATGATCATTGGACTCCCTCATGGCACACTGAACCAGTGGGCCATGCGCTCTTGCCCACCTGCTGATCGACTGAAAAGAATCATCTGCCTTTTCTCTAAAATGACCTAGAACAGGAGTGTCAAACTCAATTTCATTGAGGGCCGCATCAGCATTGCGGTTGCCTTCGGGGGAGGGTGTGGCCAGGGTGGGTGCGGCCTACTGGGTGGTCGTGGATGTGGCCTACTGGGTGGGCATGGCCAGCTCTACATCATTCGTGTCAAGGGGGCCTGTGGGAACCTGGGCAGGAGTGGGACAGATCTGGGGGTCTCTGGCAGAAGGGGGTGGGACCGGGGCAAGCGCCAAGGCATGGTCCATTTCTTCATTCCTCACAAAGGGTGACACCTCCCCAGCATGCACCCAGGGGGCGGGGCTGACACAGCAGGGGCTGGTTCCTCGCTGTTTCTGGACGGCCTTGTGGAGCTAAGACTGAATGCGTTTCAGCATAGATGGCCACCACAAAATTGTACATTGGCTCCCGGCCGGCCTGGGCCAGGGCCAAGGCAGCGGGGGCCGTTCCCTCACTGTTTCCAGGATGGCTTCCCGGACCACATGAAACCACTTCGTGGGCCGCATCTGGCCCCCGGGCCTTGTGTTTGACATGTCTGATGTAGGAGAAGATCAGGCAGAGCTGGAGGTGGCGTTAAGCGAGTCATCAGCCTAGAATCAGTACGTTCCCACAAATGGTCCAATTCTAACTCTTCTTGAATTCTGTGGATCCTGATCTGGCACCAATTCAGTACTGAACTTTAGTTGACTAGATTCTTTTGTATAGGCTTGAGAGATAAATCTTCTTAACTACAACTTTAACATATGAACTTGATTCTTTATGAGGACTTGAACTCAGCCGCAGGTTCAAGTACCCCTCCTTAACCGGTTTCTCCAAAGACAAGGGGAAAAGAGAAGGTTACAAAGCAGGTCCCAACGATTACCTCTGCTGCTTCTCTCGGCGCACCATCTCCTTCAGCTTGAAGGCGGCCTCGCAACGCCGGCGACGCCGATCCCCCCGCTCCGCGGCCTCCATCTTCAGCTGCTCACGCTTGTAGCTCCGCTGGAAGGCCGTGATTAGTCGCCGCAAACGGGCTGTGAGCGCAGAGGCTGGAGGCCAGAAGAGATTCCCTGGCTGACCTAGAGAATGAGGACAGGGATGGCTGTGTGACTCTGGCATCCTCCAGGCCTCCACTTGACCTTCTTCCCAAGGTTGAGAGGCTTATGAAGCTCAACTGCCACCACCTCCTTCACCAAGCCCTTTCAGACAGTAAGTAATTACCTTCCTCCCCATCCACCACCGATATGTCTTCATCCATCATCATTAGCGCTTCACCCTGGAAGGGAAAGATCAGGGCTATTAAAGTGGCTTGCCCCAACTGACTATAGTCGGGGTTGATGGGATTTTGGCCTAGGAGTCACAAGCTTGCTTTACTTGTGGAAACAGGATCCGGCTGGTGAAAACATGGAAGCAGCTGGAAGTTTTCAACTGTTCTCTCTCCCCCCCCCCCCCCGTGTTTCTCCATAAACTCATCCCAAAGAGAAAATATTGTTCTTATTAGTTTTGCTTTGCCAGACATGAAACAGCCTTTTTTGCCCTTCTCTCTGGCATCCAAAAAGGATGGGTAAGGTGAAACGAGGAAACAATCTTGCAAGGTGCAAATGGGCCCCCAGGTAGCTTGCAAGCTCCTTTTTCCTTGTTTGGTACATCCGCTTGCAGTTTAATTCATCCCGAAGAATGTTTGTGGAGATTCTAAGTCAGTGGTGGCGAACCTATGGCACAGGTGCCAGAGGCGGCACTCAAGAGCCCTCTCTGTGGGCACGTGCGCCATGTCCCGGAGATGGCAACTGTCCCTCTTCAACCAGACGCCTGCTAACTAGCCAAGGTCCCACGTGGCCGGATGCATCCCGGGGTTTCCCTCCCCCCCATCCTGTCTCTCCTGGCCTTGCATGCTCTTCTTTTCCCGGGCACGACCCACTGCATCGCCTCCTCAGCTGTTGGCTGGCCATCCAACTCAGAGGTGGCTTCTTTGAACTGCTGGCGGCGGGCTGCAGAGCTCCAGAGTGCGCCGGTCAAGGGGCCAGCAGGCTGTGGCTGCTGACGGACACTGTCGGCCCCCATGCGCTCGCTGGCCTCTGTGTGCGGGGGGCCGATGGTGTCAGGCAGCAGCCACCCCTTGCCTTGCCCCATGGCAATGGCACCCCCGCCCTGCCGTGCCTCACCCCGCAGGACGAGCCTCCTGCCTACCAACCTACCTACCAGAGACCCCCTGGATCTCCCCCAACCCTGCCCACCCCCCACAGGCGCCCCTCCCCATGAGCAACATTGAGGTGACCACGTGCACTTTGGCCACACCCACCCAATCTGCCATGACCACCACAGCCACGCCCATCCAGTGGGCCATGCCCACCTGGCATCTGGCAATAAATAAGTGGGTTTGGGGTTGCAGTTTCGGCACTCGGTCTCTAAAAGGTTCGCCGTCCCTGTTCTAAGTCATCCAAGGCCATAGCTGTTTCTAAGGTGCTTTTTCAAAAGGCAACTGGACTGGGTCTCTCTCCTCTCCCCCCCCACCAGGAGCAAGAAGAAAAAGATGGTTCTAGCAGGATGGTGGGGGGAAATGGAAGGATTAATTCTGATAGGATGGGGGTGGGAAGGATTGACCAGATAACTTCAAAGAAATATGTTATCTTCCAACCCCCCCAATCCTGTAAGAACTAATCCTTCCATCTCCCCAACCATCCTGCCAGAACTGATGAAGCTTCTTGGATGAGAAGCAAAACATCTTCTTCTTTTTCTTCCTCGGGGAAAAACAAAACAAAACAGTCCAGTTGCCTTTTGAAAAAGCACCTTTGAGATCCTGAACCATATTCTTAAATGTTCAGACCTCTACATTAGACTGGCGGGAATCTGGGCATATCCACAGGTCGCTCAGCTTCCATTCCCAGAGTGCCTCCCTGTCAGTCTTATTGGCAAAGGATGCTGGGAAGGGTATTTCAGCTACAATGGAAGGACCACAGGTTAAAGGCTGCTGGAATTGGGTATGTCTAGTTCAGGGGGTAGGCAACCTTGGCTCTTTTATGACTTGTGGACTTCAACTCCCAGAATTCCTGAGCCAGTCATGCTGAGGGGAAAGGGAGAGGTTTCCAAGTTGAACCATGCTGGCCTCAGGAATTCTGGGAGTTGAAGTCCACCAGTCATAAAAGAGCCCAGGTTGCCTACCCCTGGTCTAGTTTAATGAAGAGAAGGACGAGGGAGGACATGATAGCAGTGTTCCACTGTCTCAGGGGATGCCACAAAGAAGAGGGGGTCAAGCTATTCTCCAAAGTCCCTGAAGGCAGGACAAGAAGCAATGGGTGGAAACTAATCAAGGAGAGAAGCAACCTAGAATTAAGGAGAAACTTCCTGACAGAACAATTAACCAGTGGAACAACCTGCCTCCAGAAGTTATGAATGCTCCAACACTGGAAGTTTTTAAGAAGAGACTGGACAGCCATTTGTCTGAAATGGTATAGGGTTTTCTGCCTGAGCAGGGGATTGGACTAGATGACCTCCAAGGTCCCTTTCAACTTTATTATTATTATTATTATTATTATTATTATTATTATTATTATTATTATTATTATTATTATTATTATTATTAAAGTATTATTACACCCTTGACACAGCAGGCTGCGGGTCCAAGAAACGGTAAGAGAAAAGGATTTCTTTCTAAAAAGGAGTTGCTGGGATTGGGGTGGTATTAGATTTTAACAAATAAATAAAAATAAGGAAGGAGTTGAAGCATCTGTGAAATTTGAAAGGCCATAGATTTAAAACATCTCGGGTCCCGGGTTTTTAAGGATGCCAGTGATGGGCTGCATTGACAGGGCAACTGGTTTAGGATCCCACCTCCTCGTCGTGTTCCTTGGCAGGGGCTCCGACAGGCTTGTATTCTGGATCCTCGCAGTCCTTGTCAAAATCCACCCTGCCAGGGGCAGAAGATCTAGTCAATGATTGCTGTGGAAATCCCGCTTCTTTCCCACCCCTTTCCAGGCCACACCTCAGGACTTCCTGTGAGAAGCAACTTGAACTCAAAGACACCCGAGTTTAGGGCCAGCTGACCCCCTCGGTGCCTCGGTATTAGCATGGCATGTCATCATGGGTGTGCGTCTCACCCACCCACTCACCCACCCCATCTACCCGGTCCCCTAGCCTTGGGAATGGCTCAGCTCAACCCCAGCAGTTTCTTACCCCTCGCCCACATCCGGACGGTGCTCGGCAGCAATGGCCTTATCATCCGGGCGGCCGGCTTTCTCCAGGAAGCAGAGCGCAGGGTCGGCTCGCATGGTGTTGTACTTCTCGTAGCCTGTAGGAAGGGCCAAACATCAGTGCCTCCCCATGTGACCTCAGGCAGAGGTTAGAACAGTGGTGGCGAACCTATGGCACGGGTGCCAGAGGCGGCACTCAGAGCCCTCTCTGTGGGCACGCGCGCTGTCGCCCCAATCCTAGGCTTTCAGCTGGGTTTTATAAAACCTTTTCGCTTTAGCCTCCACCGCTGTGTACAAAAAAAAAAAGAAGGTTCAATCAATCAGTCAATTTCAACTTCTCGCGGGGAAAAAAAAAAGATCTCGCAAAGTTGGAATTGATTGATTGAACTTTTTAGTCCCACCCAGTCTGCCGTTTCCACCGCAGCCACGCCCACCCAATGGGCCACACCCAGCCAATAGGCCACACCCATCCGGCATCCGACGATGCATAAGTGGGTTTTGGGTTGCAGTTCGGGCACTCGGTCTCTAAAAGGTTCGCCATCACTGGGTTAGAATATAAAGTCAGCTTCCCAGTTAAGCCTCTAGCCCTGGGATTCCTTAAGAGGTCTCCGATTCAAGAGTAATGAGGTCCGGTTTCACTTCATTTTCAGGCCTAAAGTTGGTCAGATGCCGCCACTTGATGAGATTCAGATTCTAGAGGTCCCTGCCCAGGAATCTTCAGTCTATTCTTGGCCAATGTTTTAATATCATTTTTGTCCGAAAATGTTTGCCTTTTGTGCAAAATTCTTCTTGCGTGTCTCTGATTATCTTCTACACTCTAGCTGTGATCAGCAAGTACATGCTTTGGAGGTGCACAACTTCCTTCTAGTACATTTACTGGCAGGCTGTTTTTTTGTTTTTTGTTTTAAAGTCCTCTAGTCCAGGGCTTTTCAACCAGTGGTACGGGTACCACCTGTGGTACATTGGAACCTGGCAGGTGGTACGCAACCATCCTAGAAAAGGGGTAGCGGGGGAGGGGAATGAGCTGAACCGATGGCAGCACCGCACAAGCCTGAGCGAGAGACGGCTGGAGCTGCAGGGCTATCAGGGCTCAGCGGAAGCGCCAGGATCAGTGCCGCTTTCCAGCTGATCGGCGCTTCATTGAGGCTGTCAGGGCTCAGTGGAAGCGCCAGGATCAGCGCCAGGCTCCAACTGGAGCTCGGTGCTGATCCTGGCACTTCTGCTGAGCCCAGAAGAAGCGCCGATCAGCTGGAATGTTGCAGCCTCTCCAGGGTCTTGTGATTTACATTCAGATGCTTGGCAACTGACTCATATTTATGATGGTCACAGTGTCCCAGGGTCATGTGAAGTGACCAAAACCTGCTGCAACCACCCAGCAGACGGGGGAATAAAAACCAAACAACCCCCCACCCCACCCCCACTGCCAATCCTCAACAGAAATGCTCACAACAATGAAAACCTCGGACAGGAGGAAGAGCGCCGCCGGGTGGGCAGGCAGGTGTCTTGCTCGGCTGTGGCTTGGGGGGCACTTTTTTCAGTGTCATTGTAACTTTGAACAGTCACTAAGTGAACTATTGTAAGTCAAGGACTACCTATACTTTATCACTTTTCCCTTTTTTTTTTTTTTGGGTCATCACGTTTTTGACACCTTGCTTTGCGACTGGTGGTACTCGGATGTTGCCATATCCTAAAAATGGTACAATGGGTGAAAAGGTTGAAAAGCCCTGCTCTAGATTACTTAATTTAGAGTTAGTATAATTTAGATTTGGTGGCTTCTCTCCACCGATAATTTATAGCTAGTGCTTGATTTATGACCACAACAGGAACTAGATCTTCCACTGCTAAAGAAGGCGTCACACCCATTTTATGATCTTTTTCATTACAGTTGTTAAGGGATCTGTCATTTAGGTGTAAGCAAATAAAGGACTGAACTTGACTGGATCTGCCTCGTCTCTGGTTTGGGGCCTGACAGTTTGCCCGTTCCTCATTGCGAAACAAGGGCTGCACCTGTCCAGAAGTATTACTAACCATGTTTGAAGACCCCAAGGAGCAAAGATTTGTCTGCTTCCGTATCCCACCAAGCTGTGGGGACTTCTGCCTGATCCACGAGCGGAAACCAGATGTCAATTTCGCTGCAGGAATTAAGATTGGAAACAGAAACAAAATGAGACACACAAGGTGTTGTGAGGTATTAAACAGGAACCAATCAAACTTTCCAAAATTCGGGCTCTTGATTTGATAGTCTTACTCATAGCATAGAGTGGATGGCCCTTAGATACACCACAATAATTCATTTGGAACAGAAAAAGAGTAAGAGAGGCTCTTCTGCCAGGGACAAAATCTCTCTTAACCAAATGACTTGACTTGGAGAAGTAAATACATTTAATAAAGAAAGAAATGATCGCAGAACTTGCTAAGGAAATGCCACGATTGCTTATCATAGGAAGAGTTATCTGGTGGGTGGGCAGCCTTAAAAAAATCAGAACAGAATGACAGAGTTGCAAGAGATCTTGGAGGTCTTCTAGTCCAACCCCCTGCTCAAACAGGAAACCCTATACCAGGGGTAGTCAACCTTGGCTCTTTTATGACTCGTGAACTTCAACTCCCAGGAATTCTGGGAATTGAAGTCCACGAGTCATAAAAGAGCCAAGGTTGACTACCCCTGCCCTATACAAATGTTTGTCCGATCTCTTCTTAAACAAGAAATCAAAGAAACACACCCATCAAGTAAAAGGTTTCCGTCATGAAATCCACTGAGTCAGTGACTGCTTCCCATCCCAACTAAACTCGTCGATTTGTTATAGCTGCAAAGTCGTCATACAGAAACAAAAGGTGCCATATCAGTAATTGGCAAAAGCACACAGAACCCCCAGGAAACCTTTGTAAAGGTGAATTTTTTTACCTGGAAACAGCACCTGCCAAAGCTTTCTCGGCCTGGTCCCCAATCACCTCCTGACGCAGGTAATAAAGCATGCGGACCCTGAGCAGCACCCTAGGAGGAAAATAATAATAATAATAATAATAATAATAATAATAATAATAATAATAGTAGTAGTAGTAGTAGTAGTAGTAGTAGTAAAGTTGGAAGGGACCTTGGAGGTCATCTAGTCCAACCCCCTGCTCAGGCAGGAAACCCTATACCAGTGGTTCTCAACCTTTTTAATGACGCGACCCCCCCAACTGATCGTAAGTCGAGGACTAAACCGGTCGTAAGTCGAGGACTAAACCGGTCGTAAGTCGAGGACTAAACCGGTCGTACGTTGAGGACTACCCAACCGGTCGTAAGTCGAGGACTTTCCCTGCCCGGGAGCACTGCGCATGCGTGGTTCCGCCCCCTGCGCCGGCCGAGGCGTAGCTGGCAAGCGGCAGAGACGGAGCAGGCCGACCACCAGCTGGCCCAGCCCAAGGGAGGTAAGGCACCCGCCGGAAAAGGGGGAAAAAAATGGCGGACAAAAAAAATGGCGGACAGCCTTGCTTGGCGACCCCCGTGAAATGGTCGATCGATCCCAAATGGGGTCGCGACCCATAGGTTGAGAACTGCTGCCCTATACCATTTCGGACAAATGGCTGTCCAGTCTCTTCTTAAAAACCTCCAGTGTTGGAGCATTCACCGCTTCTGGAGGCAGGTTGTTCCACTGGTTAATTGTTCTAACTGTCAGGAAGTTTCTCCTTAGTTCTAGGTTGCTTCTCTCCTTGATTAGTTTCCACCCGTTGCTTCTTGTCCTGCCTTTCTGTTGGGAGGACCAATGGATAAACTGCATCCACCCATGTTTCAAGACACTGGCTATCCCCACTGCTAAGTCAGGGACGAGGGCAAACTCTTTTTTTTCCAACCAATAGAGGCATGTCCGTGTGAAAGCACCAAAGAGCCCTCAACTGCCCAAGCTTGCCATCCTTTCCTCTTTGGCAGACAGGAAGGCATGAACTGAAAGGCCAGCTTGGTGTAGTTGTGAAGGTGGTGGCCTAGAAACCCAGGAGGCTGGGAGTTCCAGTCCCCATCTTAGGAACAAAAGCTGGCTGGCACCAGGACACTGGGCGTTCTAGTCCCGTTGTAGGTGTGAAAGGGTCTAGATGACTCTGGGCCAAGGATCAGGAGATGGTGAGTTCTAGTCCCACCTTAGGCATGAAAGCCAGCTGGATGAGCTTGGGCCAGTCACCCTCTCTCAGCCCAATCTACCTCAACAGTTGTTGTGGGGAAAAAGAGGAGAAGAAGGAATATTATGTAAGTTTTTGGCCTTGAGTTATGTATAAATAATAAAGGTGGGATAGAAAATAAGATAGATAGATAGATGATAGATAGATAGATAGATAGATAGATAGATAGATAGATAGATAGATAGATAGATATAGATAAGACAGACAAACAAACAGACAGATGAATAGATAGATAGATAGATAGATAGATAGATAGATAGATAGATAGATAGAGATAGATAGATAAGACAGACAGACAAACAGACGGATGAATAGACAGACAGACAGACAGACAGACAGACAGACAGACAGACAGATAGATAGATAAGACAGACAGACAGACAGACAGACAAGACGGATGAATAGATAGATAGATAGATAGATAGATAGATAGATAGATAGATAGATAGATAGATAGATAAGACAGACAGACAGACAGACAAGAAGACGGATGAATAGACAGATAGATAGATAGATAGATAGATAGATAGATAGATAGATAGATAGATAGATAGATAGATAGATAGATAGATATAGATAGATAAGACAGACAGACAGACAAACAGACGGATGAATAGACAGATAAATAGATAGATAGATAGATAGATAGATAAGACAGACAGACAGACAAACAGACGGATGAATAGACAGACAGACAGACAGATAGACAGACAGAGATAGATAGATAGATAAGACAGACAGACAAGCAGACGGATGAATAGATAGATAGATAGATAGATAGATAGATAGATAGGTAAGACAGACAAACAGATGGATGAATAGATAGAGATAGATTGATAGAGATATAGATAGATAGATAGATAGATAGATAGATAGATAGATAGATAGATAAGACAGACAGACAGACAGACAGACAAACAGACGGATGAATAGATAGATAGATAGATAGATAGATAGATAGATAGATAGATAGATAGATAGATAGATAGATAGATAGATAGGTAGATAGATAGATAGAGATAGATAGATAGATAGATAGATAAGACAGACAAACAGACGGATGAATAGAGATAGATTGATAGAGATATAGATAGACAGACAGACAGACAGACAGACAGACAGACAGATAGATAGATAGATAGATAGATAGAGAGGGATGGATGGATGGGTGGGTGGATGGATGGATGGATGGATGGATGGATGATGTGGACAGCACTACCACACAATTATTTTTCAGACCACACACCTCTTCGATACCAAAACCCGGAATTCTGAAGAATGAGGTTGGGATCTGGCACTATTTGTCTACCATATTGGATCTCCCACCTTTTCTGCCTGGCAGAAGATTTGAGATCTAGGAGTTGGTTTTACAGAAGTCCCCAGCTGGTCCTCCCTTCCCCTGCCCGCCTTACTTGTTGCACTGGTGCTTGAGATGTTTCTTGTAGCCTTCGTCTTGGAAGAGTGTGTCCGGGTTGTACTTGTGGATCCATTCTGCTTTCTGGAGATCAAAAGTGGTCTGGGACTTGACTTTCTTCCCCTTGCGGCCCCGTGGAACTGGGATGGACAGGCCTGCCCGAGGAACAGGAAGGGAGCTCAGAGCAGGGGCTAGGTACAACATGGAACCAGTGCAATAGGGATTAGGTCACCCCAGCTTTTGCAGAGTAGCTCAACTCACACACACACACACACAGAGACAAAAACACAGAGGGAGCCACTTAAGGACTGTCTAGAGGACCCACCAACGGCAAAGGGACACGAAGTGGAATCAACATTATTCTATTTCCCCAGGGTCCACCCCCCAACCCTAAATTTTCTCCACCCATGCAAAGGATTAGGTGGCCACAATCTCAAGTCTTCCTACCAACAGAATGGACACAAGGGGTGTGGGTAACATTCTCAAAGGACATCAATATAGGGGGATATAAAAAGAGCTTCTCTAACTTACCCGAGTGATTCTGAAGCTCCTTGGCTTTGCCGTTCTCAACCGGGCTGATGAGATCCCAGATGAATCCTTTGATGTTCTCATCGCCCCGATAGTGCATCAAGCAATAGACCAGGATGGCGCGGCAGATGGTCTCCACGTCCCGCTCGGACATCCGCCGCTTGAAACGTCCATGCGAGAGGATCTCTCTCCAGCGTCCCCAGCTGCCAGACAAACCAACGGAGACATTTGCTCAGAACTGGCTAATAAGGATGGGGAGCCCTACCTACTGCAGAAATCAAGGTGTTCTTTTTTCAGGAACTGCATCTATGGGACTAGAACCCTTGCTTCTTGGAGGCGGGGGGGGGGGGGGAGAGAAGGAGGCAAGAACAAGGCTCCACCTTCAAGGGGATTTAGGTCTAGTGCAGGGGTAGGCAACCTTGGCTCTTTTATGACTCGTGGACTTCAACTCCCAGAATTCCTAAGCTAGCCTGGCTCAGCTTGGAAACCTCTCCCTTTCTCCTCAGCATGGCTGGCTCAGGAATTCTGGGAGTTGAAGTCCACGAGTCATGAAGGGGCCATAGGCATTGTAAAGTGGTATTAATACTTCACGTGATCTTGATTCTATCCCTCTGTTAATGCAGCCTAGCACTGTGTTGGCCTTTATGGCAGCTGCAGCACACTGCTGGCTCCTATTTAAATGATTGTCCACTAGGACTCCGAGATCCCTCTCATATCATGTGATCATGGAGATGCTACACGGTCGTTAAGTGTGAAAGATGGTCATTAAGTCCTTTGTTTCAGCACCACTGTAACTTCGAACGGTCACTAAATGAACGGTTCTTAAGTTTAGGCCTGCCGATATGAAGGATGATTCCTTTTGACATAATCCGGGAATTTATTTCTGTATTTCTGTGTCAGAATTTTATTTACCCTGCTTCCTTTTCTTCTTCTTTTTCCCCTTTTGACAAACAAGAAAAAGCTACTGTTTCTTGCCTCAATCAAACTAATGGTTAAGTTTAAATTTGGAATTAAAATAATTGGAGTTGAGTCAATTCCCAACCTGCACAGGTAGTCCTCGACTTACAACGGTTTGTTTAGTGACTGCTCGAAGTTACGATGGCACTGAAAAAAGAGAGCTTATGACCATTTTTCACACTTGCGACCATTGCAGCATCCCCGATCAAAATTCAAATGCTTGGCAACTGACTCGTATTTTGTGACGGTCGCAGTGTGTCCGGGGGTCCTGTGATCCCCTTTTGTGACCTTCGGTCCAGCAAAGTCAATGGGGGAAGCCAGATTCATTTAACAACCATGTTACTAACTTAACCGCTGCAGAGATCCACTTAACAACCTGGGCACAAAAAAAGGCGTAAAAAGGGGCAAAATTCACTTAACAGATGCTTCACCTACCAGTTTTCTCCGAAAGTAAGGCCTACACCAGGGGTAAGGCAACCTTGGCTCTTTTATGACTCGTGGACTTTAACTCCCAGAATTCCTGAGCCAGCCATGCTGAGGGGAAAGGCAGAGGTTTACAAGCTGAGCCGTGCTGGCTCAGGAATTCTGGGAGTTGAAGTCCACGAGTCATAAAAGAGCCAAGGTTGCCTACCCCTGGCCTACACCAACAATAAGCCCTAGCTTGATTTTGGGCAGTGGGCCTAATATAAGCCTACCCCCAAAATAAGCCCTAGTTTTGGCACGAGGCACACACCTAAAAATCAAGCTAGGGCGGGGGTGAGGATGTGGAGCTGCCTCACCCACTTACCTTGCAGCCAGGCCTCTCCTCGCCGGCCCACTTCTTCTTCTCAGGCCTCTTCTGCAGCCAGGCCTGCATTTCTCAGTCACGGGGCTTTCCGGAAGGCCTGTGCAGCCAAGAACCGAACTATGGATTCAATGCGTAGCTCGGTTCTGCAAGACCTCAGCAGCCAAGCACCAAGCTATGGATTGAATCCATAGCTCGGTACTCGGCTGCTTAGGCCTTCTGGAAAGGCCTGACTGCAAAATGCAGACCCGAATGCAGGTGCAGAACTTCGGCCCCAGAAGAAGTGGACCGGCTGAGTGGGGCTGTTGGTGCCGGAGGTGATGTGAGGCCTACCCCGAAAATAAGACCTGGTGCCTCTTTTGGAGGCAAAAAAAAAATAAAAATAAAGACAAGACCCGGTCTTATTGTCGGGGAAACACAGTAGCAACAAAAAAAAATTGGGCTCAATTGTAGTCGTAAGTTGAGGATTACCTGTACTACGAGGAAGCCAATCCATCATGACTTTCTCTCCTTGAGGAACTCTCAATAAGGCTATCAAGTTACCCCCTCCTTCCCAACACACATCCTCCCTTACAACTCCCACAATCCTTTTATTTTGCACGCGCCCCATTGCTTTTTGTCAGGCCTCCCTCCACGCCACATACCCATAGACTAGCAGTTGTTTCTCCACCTGGAAGCAGTCGGTGCGCCCGTACGAGTGGTGGAGGGGGTGGTGGTGCCGGTCGTGGCGCCGGGAGCGCGGCCGGTCATCGTCGTCACTCTCCAAGTCAGAGAACTCAACCAGGTCATCGTCCTTCAGGGTGCTGAAGTGGCGAGTTTGCTTGCGGATGCGGGGCGTGTCGATCACCAGGTTGTTCTGTGGGAAGCAGAGAGAAAAAACACTTTTGGATCTCTGAATGTGTGCCAGTTCCTCCACGAACAATTCTCACTTCTGCCCTGTCTTCATCACTAAATCTTAAGACTTGGAAATGGCCTTTCAGACCATAGAATCTAAGTTCAACTCAGCATAGGAATGTCTATGGAGATTCTCGGTCCTGGTTGTCCCATAGGTGTTTTTTCAGGAGGCAACTGGACTTTGTTTTTCTTTGAATTTCCTCAGAATCGCCATCGACATTTAGCTATGCACTTTGGGATGCACGCCCTTCGAATGGTGCGGGAGCATGAACTGGATTTCCAGAAAACATTGCTGACTACAGGAACCATTTGCGCTTCAGTTTGAGAGGCAGACAACACAGGCTCATCCCCGACAGTCTGCTCCTGCCTTCAACCGTGAAGGGACCCAGGGCAGAAAACATCCTGCAGCCAAGAAGGCTCCACACACATTTGCACTGCTCAGGTGACCCTGAGGACACAGATAAAACTCCAAGTGGCCTCAACGACTCTCTAAAAGAAGGCAAATGACCAGCTGTCTGCAAGGAGTATAAATCCTTCCATTCCCCACCATCCAGTCAGAGCTGAAGAAGCTTCTTGGATGAGAAGCGAAATGTCTTCAAAAGAAAAACAAGAAAGTCCAGTTGCCTCCTGAAAAAGCACCTTTGGGCCAGCATAGGAATGTGCATTAAACCAATCAACCATGATGGCCCAGATTTTTCTTGCTGAACAGTGCATGGTCTAGCCTCTTGCTTAGGGGTCTCAAAACATGACGACTTTAAGACTTCTGGACTTCAACTCCCAGAATTCCTCAGCCAGCCATGCCAAGTTGGCTGGGGAATTCTGAGAGCTGAAGTCTACCAGTGTTAAAGCTGCCAGGTTTGGAGACCTCTGCTCCTGCTAACTCATCCCACAGTTGAGCTGCTATTATTAAAAAGAGCGGTTTTCCCTAACATCCAATTGGAATCTGCTTTTCTAAAATTTAGAAACACTATGCCATGCCAATAAAGGAGAATATTTGTAGCTCAGAGTTGAAACGCGGGGGTCCTTGGTGCTGTCTGGGCTGGGCTGTTTTCTTGCAGATGTTTCATTTCCCAAACTAGGTAACATCATCAGTGCTCAACATTATCAACATTGACTAGCACGGATGATGTTACTTAGTTTGGGAAATGAAATGTCTGCAGGAAAACAATCAAGCTCAGACAGCACCAAGGATCCCTCACACTATCCCGTGTTCCGTATTTGAAGGCAATAGCCTCTTGAGTTTCCATTTTTTGGGCAGCTGAACCTTCCCATATTTTTTCAATTTCTTAACAGATTTTTTTCTGATTGCTCCCCTCTGCTCCTCATCAAATCCTCCTTAAAACTAATGCCTAGATTTGACAGTTCTAGGAATGAGGTCTGAAACCATTCCTTCCCGTGATCTTGAAAACTTCCATTGATGCAGCATGGAAACTCTATTGTTGTTTTTTTCCCTGCAGCTACGTGACAGTCTTGGGTTAGGTTGAATCTGTAATCACTCACTTTTCCACAAAATTCCCCCCCCCCCACGAGAACTGTTGTAAAGCCAGCTATATTTCATCCTGCACTGCCCATTTGCCTTCTCTTTCCTGAATGAAGAGCTTTGCGTTTTCCTGTGTTTTGAATTTCATTCTTGGGAAATTTCAAACGCATGAAGATATTGCATATTCTTCTAATCCCATTCCTCAAACTGATCGAGGTCATCCAGAATTTAACTGGCGTCCCTCCGTATGTCAACTCTCTCATTCAATGTTATGCCTTCTGCAAATCAGACAGGCAAGTGCAACACCCCTGAGTTACAACTGGACTACTGCCTGCTCTAAAGCAGAGGTCCCCAACTTTTTGGGCACCAGGGACCGGTTGCATGGAGAAAGGTTTCTCCACGGACCAGAGAGTGTGTGGATTTGTGTGCTGCCTGCATCCCACGGATGGGGCTCTGCTTGTTTGTGTGTACGTACCGGTCCATGGACCGGGGGGTTGGGGACTCCTGCTCTAAAGATCTAGTTTTGGTGTGGAGAAATTAAATCTTGTCGTCCCACACAACAAGAAGTCCGTACCGTGAAAGACGGAACTTTGTGTAACCCTTTCCTGATTCTTCTATTACTCACTCAGACAATCGTGCAAGTTGATGGGATCCCTCTTCCCAACCCAACACACCTTACTATTCAGAAGATCCAGGTCTAAGTCTGCCTTCTTGGCCCATTTCTGCCAGAAGTTGGGGTCATCCAGAGCGATGTCTGTCCTGTTTTCAGAGGCCACAAAGCTTGCCTGGGAAAGGAGTAGAGGCAAAATAAAGGAGGAAGGTTTGGGTATCACGTTTACTGTAAAGCAGACTTCACACACACACACACTCTCACATACACAACGTTTTGCCAGATTTGTACAATCCACCGGCATAGCAGTGCTTAGATACTTTGTGGCTCAGTTTGTTGTGGGAAACCCAGTCACTGTCTTGATGCGTTTTGTGAATGATCAGACAAGACTTCGCTTTATTTACTTGAGCAGAGAATAAAGCAGTCAGGTTTCATTAACTTCCTTCTCTTTCTCCTTCTTCTCCTTCCATGTCTAGATCAAATTTTAAACTGCCAGAATGAAGCGCCCTTCCTGGCTTTGTCATTGGCGTAAAATAAATAATTACCGGTACGTTTCTGGTAGTAGCCGACATACCAGCAGATGGGCTGGGTTCTGTGTTTCTCCACATTCACACAAGCACGTTGCTATCCACTAAAAGCCTCCATTTGAGCATATTGGTTTTACACTCAGGCACGCCAACTCTCAACGTATTTAGGGGCCTCTGCGTAGTACAAGGGGAGATCAGACCCTTCCACCATATCCTCCTTTAATGTTATTCCTTGCTCGGTGGTTTCCTTCCTCCATCTTTTAATTCAATTTTGTTCTTGTGTACCTTCAAGAATGTTTGTTTGTTAACTTGGACCTAATGTACATTGTGTGAACCCACACCAGTTGTTTTTCCAAGGAGCATAATATTCCCAGGGTGAAATCTGGTTGGCCTTTGTCTTAAAAACAAGTAGATTTTTGGGCCTCATAGCTGTACAGGCCCTTTAAAGCAGGGCTTTTCAACCAGTGGTACAGGTACCACCTGTTGTACATTGGCACCTGGCAGTGGTATGCGACCATCCTAGAAAAGTGGTAGTGGGGGAGGGGAATGAGCTGAACCGGTGGCAGCACTGCACAAGCCTGAGTGAGAGACGGCTGGAGCTGCAGGGCTGTCAGGGCTCGGCGGAAGCGCCAGGATCAGTGCCGCTTTCCAGCTGATCGGCGCTTCTTCGGGGCTGTCAGGGCTCAGTGGAAGCACCAGAATCAGCGCCAGGTTCCAGCTGGAGCTCGGCGCTGATCCTGGTGCTTCTGCTGAGCCCAGAAGAAGCGCCAATCAGCTGGAATGTTGCAGCATCTCCAGGGTCTTGTGATTTACATTCAGATGCTTGGCAACTGATTCATATTTATGACGGTCCCAGTGTCCCAGGGTCATGTGAAGTGACCAAAACCTGCTGCAACCACCCAGCGGACAGGGGGAATAAAAACCAAACACCCCCCCACCCCACCTCCACTGCCAATCCTCAACAGAAATGCTCACAACAATGAAAACCTCGGACAGGAGGAAGAGTGCCGCCGGGTGGGCAGACAGGTGTCTTGCTCGGCTGTGGCTTGGGGGGCACTTTTTTCAGTGCCATTGTAACTTCGAACAGTCATTAAGCCAACTGTTGTAAGTCGAGGACTACCTGTACTTTATCACTTTTTTTCTTTTTTTTGGTCAAGTTTTTGACACCTTGCTAGGCGACGGGTGGTACTAGGATGTTGCCATATCCTAAAAGTAGTACAATGGGTGAAAAAGTTGAAAAACCCTGCTTTAAAGGATAGGCGAGTACAACTCCATACCTTATTTCAGTAGACTCTGGGCCAGTGTTTTTGAATCTCAGCAAACTTCAAAATGTGTGGATGTCGACTCTCAGAATTCCCCAGGCAGCCATCTTGAAACTCACGCATCTTGAAGTTGCTGAGGTTCAGAAACACTGTTCCAGGCCCTTTGGAAAGCCTCCTTAAACTCTTACTAGTGCCCAACATCCTGTAAACTATTACAGATCAGAACAAACAGTATACTTTAGACAACATAAGGAGTACGTGTGACACGAACAACCTTGCTTCTTTTTGGTTCTTGCTTTCTTCTCTGCAGACATCTATCCATCAGCCTTCTCCGAATGGAGTTGGCCTCACCCTGAATCTCTTGATTATTTTAAAACACAGTCAGGGAATAAGGATACCTTGGCAAAGGTGGACCCTTTTCCTTCACTCTCAATGGTGATGGTAGTGGTGCGCCGAAGGAGGATCTGGTCAATATCTTCTTCGCAGAACTTGGACCCTTCATCATCCTCTTCCATAATGGCGGCATAGGCCCCTTTGCGTAGCAAATCCTCAATCTCTTTCTTTGAGAACTGCTGAATCTGGGAGAGGTGGAGAAGGAAGAAATGATCGTTT